GAGGCTGCGGTGGCCGGGAGCGGCCACTGCACTCCAGTCTGGGCGACAGAATGAGACTCCAACTCAAAAAAACAAAAAGAAAGAAAGAAAATCTTCCATAACTACCTTTCACTTCATCTACAGGATAAAACCCAAACTCTTCAGTTCAGCGCACAGGCCCAGGCTTCTGTCCACCCCTCTAATCACATCTTGTCATTTCCCCCATCTCACTACACCCTCCAGCCTTGCAGAATGTACCTCTGTCAGCTCCTCCAAAGAAGCCTTCCCTTACCTTGTGGTTCCCTCTGCCTTGGAACATCTTCTGTCCTTCAATTCTCCTGTATGATCCCACCGTGTGTCATGTTTCTACTTACAGGTCACTTCACCTGTGTGCTCCTATGGAGGATCCTATATTTCTCTAATTTAATAATTCCTAGCGTTCTTGAGCACTCATGGTTTTCTAAGTGCTTTACATGTGGTAACTCACGGAAACCTCACAACAACCTCTTTTCAAATAGACACCATTAATATCCTCCCCATTTTACAGATTCAGAAACCATGATCCAGTTGCGCCAGAACACACAGCTGGTAAGTGGTAGACATGGAATTTGAATTCAGGCAGTCTGTCTCCCGTAGTTCTCATCTCAATACCAACCTGCCTGTTATAGACACCCTATGGTGTAGGAGGCTGGGATTAAGAATTCAGCAAGTAGGCTGGGCGTGGTCGCTCAAGCCTGTCATCCCAGCACTTTGGAAGGCCGAGGCAAGAGGATTGCCTGAGCTCGGGGGTTCGAGACCAGCCTGGGTAACTTGGTGAGACCTCGTCTCTACAATAAATAAAAAAATAAGCCGGGCATGGTAGTGCACACCTGTAGTTCCAGCTACTTGGAAGGCTGAAGCGGGAGGATCACCTGAGCCCAGCAGGTTGAGACTGTGGTGGCTGTAAGAGTGCCACTGCACTCCAGCCTGGGCAACAGAGTGAGACTCCAACTCAAAAAAAAACAACATGTGACACGTGATGGGTGAACAGGTATGGCAGATTGGAGGGGAATTAAAATGAAAGTAATGGCAAGACTGTAGGTGATAACTGGGAACATGAACTGCAGGTGGAGTGGACCGTTGCCATAGTGATGTGGTGACGCGAGGTATGCAGACGGGTATTGGTGGGACTCATGGGGAAAGAGGAAGGATAGATGGGGGAATTGATGGAGGAGGTAGGCTGGCAGTTTGTAGGGATGGCAGCGAAGTTATAGAGGTCATGGGGTGACTAATTCAGGGGATGACAAGCTTGCAGACCCCAGAGCAATGCAGGGGCTCTGCATGTAGATCTTGGAGATGTTCTAGCAGCAGCAAGAGCATGTGAGGAGCTGGACTCCAGCCCTCCACGCTAGCACCCACCTCTGCAGTGTTGATGCACAGCCCCTTGTCCCCAGCAAGGCTCTTCCAGAAGTGCTCTGTGCAGACAGCAAAGCTCACAACCCCATCTGTGGGACCCAGCGTAAGTCTGCAGCCCTCTAGGTAAAATCTAAACACTTTTTTTGAGAAGTTTTATTTGAAAACTTGGGGATCAGGGACACAATGGAGACAGTAGAATGGAGACTGCCAGGGCTCTTGGGTCAGAAGTCAGGCTTGGGTACCTCAGGTCTGTATGTTCTAGGACCTCTCCAGCCTGTGGGCTCCCAAGGAGTATATCCACTCTCATCCTCTCAGCCTCTTACCCCCTCCTCCACTGCCCACTTCCTGTTCCTGAGGTGTCAGGGTAGACCATGGGGGGCGGGGGGAAGTGGGGAGGACCTAGTTAAACTCCGGAAGGAGGAGGAAGAGACAACTTGGGAGTTGGGGGCTAAAAGGAACAGATAGAAAAAGGCAGTGGGGAAGGAGCCGTTGCGTTTTCCTGCTCCATCCTCCAGAAACCACTCTCATGAGACATCTCTCTAGAAGCTCAGATAGGAAGTTCGGGGTAGATCACATCCTGTGACTGGGCAATGGCCCCCAGTCTTTGGAGACTGGCTGGGAAGCAGTCATGCCCCTGCTGCAGGGGAGGCTGGGGCAATGTGTGCCCACTGCGTCAGGCCCTCCATCTCAGCTGGCTGCAGGCTGACTGTTGGCATAGGCCTGGTCGGGGAAGGAAGCCCGGGCCCTGCGGGTCTGGGCACATACTGAGGCATAGAGCTCTGGCTCCGGGTCCGAGGCCTGGGGCTTTGGCTCAGAGTCCAGCACCACCTCCGAGTACTTGATGGGGGTCCCGGCGTTGGGGATCCGGCCCTGAGGAGGCCGCAGTTGCAGGCTGGTATAGCACATCACCTCCTCTGCACCCTGGAGGTGCAAGGCTGTTAGACACTCACTGGACCCTTGCAAAGGGCCCCCGTTTCCTCCCTCTCCTTTTCTTCAGCCACAGCTGACTCACCCTGGCAGAGCCTCCAGGGGCTGGATCTTGCTGGTCTGGCCCGGGTTCTTGAGACAACCGACCTGGGACAGGGAAAAGGAATCTGGTCAGCCTCTTATTCCTCCTCCTGCACATCCCACCCATCCCACCCCCCTGGCCTGGCCTCCATGCACCTCCCCTCGGCCAGGTTCCTACCTGTCTGTAGATAATGCAGGTTCCCATACAGGGGGACCTCTTCCTCAGGCCCTCCGGAGCTGCGACACAGAGTTGCAAGGATGAGTGGGGCCTTCCCGGTAAGAGAACTATCGGTCAACCCATCCCTGTTGTCCCCCACTCACCGTCCTTGCTCCAGATGACTCCTGCTCCGGCCACGGGTCCACTGGGACAAATGTGCCGCCAGTGAGATGAGAAGCAGCAGCGTCACAGCCCCTAAGAGGGCCCACAGTCCCCAGGCCTTGGTTACGGAGGGGATTCCTGGAGATGTGAGAGGATGGGGGGTTACTGCCCAACCCAATGCCCAGGTCCCAGCAGGTGGGACAGACGGCCACATGACCCCTCCCCCAGGAACCCCTGCCCCGCCCAGCTCACCCAGAGCTAGTAGATCCGTGCAGTTGTCACCTCTGCTCATGACTGCTGATGCGAGAGCTGGGTCCACAAGCGCACTGCCCGGAGCTGAGGGTCAGCCTGGTTCATGACCTGACAGCTGCCATAGCCCCCCTTACTCCCACCTCTCCCTGGGCCTGGCCCCCACAGCTCAGCATCCCGATACTGGTAGTGGCAGAGTTGCTGGTTTCCGGGGAGGAAGGGGGAGGGGAGGGATGATCGAAAGAACAGAGACCCCGCCCTGTGCCTGCACCTGCACCACTTCTGCAGCTCCTGAGCTTCCCCCACCCTCACCCCTGGGGCCCCATGTCCCCCTCAAGGAGAAAAGCAGGCCTGAGGGGACTGTGCCACGTGCAGATGAGCCCCGAAGATTCCAAGGGTGCAAAGTGGCATGAGGTAGGACCAATCAGGACAGGAGGGCCCCTTCTGCCTCAGGATGCCCACCTTCCTGCCTCACTCTGAGTCCCGTGAAGGAGAATGTATACCTCAGTGAAACTGTTGTAAGTGGCAGGGTGTGGGAGGCCTCAGGGTCCCTGCAATCCCATCACACCCTGAGGCTGGTCTGAGAGGACAAGTGTTTAGATGATTCTTGTGGTTATCACTAGCGTTATAGTTTGAGGGGATAAAGGAAGCTAAATTACCCCCTCCCAACCCACTTCATCCAAACTGTCCTGAAGAACTGTCACTCTCAATAATTAACTTCATTTAAAAATTCTCTGCCCCAGGTCTCTCTTTGGAATCCAAGCCCTGTTTTTGCCCTGCTCACTTCAGGAAGTGGAGTACCTGCCAGACCTAGAGACAGCCTGACCACATGGGAGGGTATTGATATGGGAAGAGGGATTTTAAGATCCAAATATTAAACCTTAGATTAGAAATCAGAGATTTTTTTTGTCTGGCCTGTACAATATGTTTTTAAATTTTAAATTTGGTGCAGTGGCATGCCAATGCTGAGGATGGCGGAAGTTCTGCCCCTTGAGCTGCAGGTAATATGGGATGGGGAGTGGAGGAGGGGTATTGTCTGCAGTTAAAAAATGTATGTGGTGCCGGGCTCGGTGGCTCAGCCTGTAATCCCGCGCCTTTGGGAGGCTGAAGTGAGTGGATTGCCTG